CACAAACCACGTCCATTCCACCTTACCAAAGTATGATTTAACATTTAATAAAATGTATTTAAGTGCAGTTTGATGAGTTTTGATAAATATGATAACCATCATCATAATAAAGCTTTTCTTATAACCCTGGAAGATCCCTTTGCTCCCCTTCCCAGTCTCTACAGTGGTGAAACCTAATTAATAAAACCTCTATACATGTATTAGACATTTTCTTAAGATGACTGTGGGAAAGTACTGGCCAATCAATTCATGATCAGTTTGTCAAATGGTCTTGAGTCACACTGGGTGGGACACTAGTCCTGGCTTTGCCCACTTCTCTCAAGGCAGTAAGGCAAAGGGGGAAAGAGTCAGATACCTCCCAGACTAAAAGTTCTGTTTCCATTCATTATAAACAGGCATCTTTTTTTTTTTTGGGGGGGGGGGTCGGTCATGGGCTTGAACTCTGGGCCTGGGCGCTGTCCCTGCGCTCTTCAGCTCAAGGCGAGTGCTCTACCACTGAGCTACAGTACCACTTCTGGTTTTCTAGTGGTTTATTGGAGATAAGAGTCTCATGGAGTTTCCTGCCTCAGCTGGCTTTGAACTGTGATCCTCAGATCTCAGCCTCCTGAGTAGCTAGGATTACAGGCGTGAGCCACCAGTGCCCAGCTTAAGCAAGCATCTTAGAAACATAGGTAGAATGAAGAAAGAGCTAAAGAATCCCAAGTTCAAGGGGCTGGGAAGGTGGCTCAGTGGTAGAGCGCTTGCCTTGCATGCCTGAGGCCCTGGGTTCGATTCCTCAGCACCACATAAGCAGAAAAGAAAAGCCGGAAGTGGGGCTGTGGCTCAAGTGGTAGAGCGCTAGCCTTGAGCTGAAGAGCTGAGGGACAGAGCTCAGGCCCAGAGTTCAGGCCCCACGACCGGACCCCAAAAAAATTAAAAAAAAAAAAAAAAAGAATCCCAAGTTCAAGGAGTAATAATGGCAGAATTACATCATTACCGTATCCACAGACTCACAATTTGAAGGTCATTGTAACAACAACAAAAAAATTCTTTCAGCAATTGCCCATTCTCTCTTCTCCAGTTCCTTTGGATAGACATCCTGAAAGAATCCAGATTTCAACTTGTATATGGTAATGAAAGGACTTGTCTTTCTTTTTTCTGCTGTTAAATACAAGGGACTTGATTACAACAGAAGATGATATCTGATGGCTAGAAAATCAGCCATGTGGGTGAAGGAGAATAGAGGAAGAGGGAACAAGATGAAGGGAGCCAGGGTAGTGTGCTGTGGGCCAAGCACGTCCAAGGGCTGATAGCGGAGTTTGTCATTGCTTGGCCTATTTTCAAGAGTTACTTGACCTGGCAGTGAGGGCTGCCTGAGCTGGCTATAGATGCAGGTCTAACCCAGGGCTTCCCTTTCTCTTTTTCTACCCCTGCCTTGTTGTAGGAAAATGTTATAGGAAGTCAACTGAAGCTTTTCTGTTTTTTTTTTGTTTTTTTTTTTTGCCAGTCCTGGGACTTGAACTCAGAGCCTGGGCACTGTTCATAAGCTTCTTTTAAGGCTAGCACTCTACTACTTGAGACACAGTGCCACTTCCAGCTTTTTCTGTGTATGTGGTACTGAAGAATCGAACCCAGGGCTTCATGCATACTAGACAAGCATTCCACTAAGTTACATTTCCAGCCCCTGCATATACTTTTTAAATGTAGGCCAAGAGGTCAGAATTTACACAGAAAACCAGGGTTTGTACAAGTCTTGGTGGACAGGTCCAGGAGCACAATTTCTGGGTCACAGATTGGGCCTGTGTTCAGCTTTAGAGGATATTGCCAGTTTTCCAACAGGGTTTTACTACTTAGTTCTCCAAACTTCTATAACAGAATGCCTTACACTGAGTAATCTCTAAGCAGCAGAAGTTTATTGCTCATGGTTTTGGAGATTGGGAAATTCAGGGTGAAGGCACCAGCAAATTTAGCATCAGGTAAATGCCCCCAGCTGCCTTTTGTGGTAGAAAGGGGAGAAGGGTCCCTCTAGCCTCACAGAGCAGGCATCCCTTTCCGGACAGGGAAGTCTTCATTGAGTCATCTCCCAAAAGCCCACCTCCTAATGCCATTACCTTGGGGTTAGGTTTCAACAAGAATTTAGGGGAGACACAAAATTTCACATTGTAATCTCAACATATATCCCTCCAAAATGTATGAGTTTTAGCCGGAGCAGTGGTTGAAGTAGTAGAGCACCAGCCAAGCAAGCTAGCCAAGTGAGTGGGAAGCGGAGTTCAAACCTTAATACCATATAAATGAATAGTGCTGTGGTCTCTGTATTAGTGCAAGCCTCCTACTTTCAATAGGTGCTCGTGGTTCATGCCTGTAATACTAGTTACTCAAGATCCTATCCTCTGGATCAAGATCATGGTTCAAAGCCAGTCCCAGGCAGAAAGTTAATGAAACACCCTCCCTCCCCCCAACACACATCTCAACAAATAGGTCTAGTAGTTTATAACTGTAATTCAAGCTATGAGGGAGGCATACATCAGAGAATCACAGTCCAAAGCCTGCCCCAAGCAAAAAGGCTAGAACCCTATATGCAGCAGTTAAAAAGGAAAAAAGGCTGGAGGTGCAGCTAAAGTAATGGTACCCCTGCCTTCGCACACATGGGTCCCTGAATTCAAACCACAGTATTTCACATCAAGGCTTCCAGACAGCAGAATTAGAAAAGTCCTCCATACTTCCTACACATCTGACCTGAGGTAACACCCACAGGGGATGGTTAGTGTGCTTGAAATCACATACACTAGGCCACACTCTGGGGCTACACACTGCATTTTTTTGTTGTTGTTGTTGGTTATGGGGCTTGGAACTCTGGACCTGGGTGCTGTCCCTCAGCCCTTCAGTTCAAGTCTAGTACTCTACCACTTGAGCCACAGTGCCACTTCTGGCTTTTTCTGCTTATGTGGTGCTGAGGAATCAAACCTAGGGCCTCATGCGTGCAAGGCAAGCACTCTACCACTGAGCCACCTTCCCAGCCCCACACTGCATTCTTTTTTTTTTTTTTTTTTTGGGGGGGGGGGGGTCAGTCGTAGGGCTTGAACTCTGGGCTTGGGCGCTGTCCCTCAGCTCTTCAGCTCAAGGCGAGCACTCTACCGCTTGAACCATTGCCGCTTCTGGTGGTTTATTGGAGACAAGAGTCTCACAGATTTTCCTGACCGGGCTGGCTTTGAACCTCGATCCTCAGATCTCAGCCTCGTCAGTAGCTAGGATTACAGGTGTGAGCCACCGGTGGCCGGCTCCCACACTGCATTCTTTTTTTTTTGTTGTTTTATTTTTTTTTGGGTCCGGTAGTGGGCCTGAACTCTGGGCCTGGGCACTGTCCCTCAGCTCTTCAGCTCAAGGCTAGTGCTCTACCACTTGAGCCACAGCGCCACTTCCGGCTTTTTTTCTTTTTGCTTATGTGGTGCTGAGGAATCGAATCCAGGGCCTCAGGCATGCAAGACAAGCGCTCTACCACTGAGCCACCTTCCCAGCCCCCACACTGCATTCTTGAGAAACATTTTTTTCCAAAGCTACCCTAGGAAGATAACACATTAAGAGTACCCATGCAGAATTGTTTACTGACTGAGCCAGTGTGGTACTCAAGAGCAGGGGGGAGCAGTGGGGCTGGTTATGAGCATAGGGGTGATGGGAAATGATACAGACAGCTTAGGAACAGACCATTCCCAGATACAGGGCACAGGTAAATGCCTTATGGGGTTTGGAGTATGGGTTGAAATTCAGAAGTAGAAATTCCCGGGGCTGGGAAGGTAGCTCAGTGGTAGAGCGCTTGCCTTGCATGCATGAAGCCCTGGGTTCGATTCCTCAGCACCACATATGCAGAAAAAAAAAGCCGGAAGTGGTGCTGTGGCTCACGTGGTAGAGTGCTAGCCTTGAGCTGAAGAGCTGAGGGACACTGCCCAGGCCCAGAGTTCAGGCCCTACGACCAGACCCCCCCCCCCCCCAAAAAAAAAAAAAAAAGAAATAGAAACTCCCTAGGGCAGTGCACAGGAAAGCTTCCCTGAACGATGACAACTTGGGAGATAAACCACAGTAAGCCCTTATATCTCCAACCTGAATGAAGATGGATCCTATGTTTACCCCTTGTCCAGCAAAAGCCATATGAAAAGAACCTACAAGTAAGTCAGTGTCCATGGCCCACACTGTAATCCTCAAGAGGCTGAGATGTGAGGATCATGGTTCAAAGGCAGCCTTGGCAGGAAAGTCTGTGAGACTCTTGTGTGTGTGTATGTGTGTGTGTGAGAGACAGAGAGACAGAGACAGAGAGAGGGAGACAGAGAGAGAGAGAGAGAGAGAGAGTCCTGGTGCTTGAGCTCAGAGCCTGGACACTGTCCCTGAGCTTCTTTTGCTCAAGTCTAGCACTCTACCACTTAAACCACAGCACTACACACTTTTTCTGTTTCGTGGTACTAAGGAATTGACAGGGTTTCATGCATGCTAGGCAAGCACTCTACCACTAAGCCACATTCCCAGCCCAAGACTCTTATTTCCAATTAAAAACCAAAACACTGGAAGTAGAAGTTTGGCTCAAGAGGTGGAGTGCCAGCCTTGAGCAAAAAAAAAAAGCTAAGGGACAGCTTTCAGGCCCTGAGTTCAAGTCTCAGTGCCAACACACACACATACACAGAAAGAACCCACAAGCACATGCCCAAAGTGGCCCATTGTGTGTCTGATATAAATGTCGCTGGAAGGTGGGGAGAATGTATTGGCCTCCATCCTGCACAACTGTCCTGCAGATGCACATCCCTTCCTAGCAACTCCCCAGGGCACAGGTATTACTGAGGGGCAAACAGGAGGGGAGACAGTGGATGGGGTCCAGATTTTCCTATAAAGGTATAGCCATGGGTTCAAACACCTTCCCATTCAATTGTGACTATAATGACATGTATCTAATCCTTAGTAAACGACAGGACTCATGGTAAATTTACACAGATAAACTCATTTAATCATCATGACAATGACAGGCACACACATACACACATGTACGCGTACACACACACACACACACACACACACACACACACACACACACACTTAGCAGTGAGAAAAATGAGGCACAGAATGGTTAATATCTTGCCTGGGATCACAGAGCCAGTGAGAGGTGAATGAGGATGCAGGCAAAGCTGCCTCCTGCAGAGCGCACTCTTATGTGCTCTGCCTCTCAAGCTGTCAGCTTGACCAGGCTGGGCAGGAGGGAGGAAAGAGAAACATTCCTCCTCTGGGCACGGCACTTGGCAAACACCTTCATACTTCGACCTCAAAAGAACCCAGTGAAGAATTAGCTAGAGTTTCACACCCACATCTGGACATCTGCTCAGGCCAGCCCAGAAATGCAGAACTTTGTCTGGGTTCTGTGCACTAGGTGTCCCTCCCCAACCAAAGGAAACAAGGGGAAGGGACATCAGGAGGGTGCGAGAGGAGAGCCAGGGTGTGAGGAGGCTGGAGGAACATCCAGAAGTCTTCCTGGCACCAGGAAGAAGCAGCTGCCTCTTCCCTCCTTCGGGTCTGCTAGGGTATCCAAAGCAGCTGGCCCACCCTGGAGACCAGTCACATCACTGCTCCCCCAGCTCCAGTGCTAAGGCACCAGACTGGACAGCAAGATGGGAATAGGTCTTGTGGGGTTCCCCTTACTCAGCACACTTGTTCCATAGCCACTGGGGACCTGAGCAAGGGATGAGACCTGGTTGGGTGGCAACTCAGAAGCACCCAGGGTGACAACCCACACTGCCAGGTGAACAGGTCTGAAAGCACCAGGGAAAACCCAAAGCCTGGAAAGCCAAAGGTGGTGAGGGACATGCACATGGTGTGAGCTAAGACCCATCTACTGGCAGGATTCAGTGGGGCCTCCCATCAGACCCCTGGACCTTGAGCTCCCCCCCCCCTTGGTTCAGCCCATGCCCACCCAGCCAGGAGAAAGAGCTCTGGGGAACAAAGCAGGTGAGTGGCACCACGTGGGCTTGAGACTGAGGCTTCACTGGGGCAGGCGCCTCTTCACAGCCAGAAACACAGCTAGAACTGTCACCACAACCCCGGCTACTCCAAGCCACATAGCCCAGGAATCAGTCCCCACACAGTGTACTTCCTCTTCTGGGGGTTGTGGGATAGCTGGCTGCTCCAGCATCCCTGCCTGGAGGTCAACGCTGGGATCCTTGTTTATGTTCAGCCTAAAAGACACATACTCATCCTCCTCAGGGCCGCGGCTGGGCTGTGGCCCGTGATTGGATTCTGAGCTCAGGGAGCTGCTGGGGCTGATGGCGAGGTCCTCAGAGCAGCTCAGGGAGCTGCTGGGGCTGATGGCGAGGTCCTCAGAGCATCCTGAGAACGGCTGGTCCAGCTGGGACAGCAGCACACCCGGCTTGCTCACCTCTGACCCTAAGCTTCTGTCTGGGCAGAGTGAACTGCCTCCAAAGGCAGCTGTGGGTGCTGATGCCTCTGGGGTCCCCTGAGGGGGAAAAAGAAAACAAGAATGCCAGAAGGAGTTAGGGATGGCAGAGAGACAAGTCAGGTTGGGTAGTCCATTCCCAAGCCAGAGCATAAACTCAGCTCAACTCATCAGTTCCCAGCCCATAATGCTCCTGAGACCATGACCTTAGAAACCTAACCCATTGGTGGAAGAGGAGGAAACCAAGATCCTACAGCACATCATTGGTGGCCCCTCCAGGGAAGCTCTGTCACTCTCAGTGGCCTATGAGCTCACCTCTTCTGGGGAATCCTTGCTAGGCCTGGAGCCTATGGACTTGGTTCCTCCAGCAGCAGTGGGAACAGATGTAAGGCCCCAGAGGTGGTGGCTATGGGACCTGTTGGGTCCAAGCAGTTGCTCTGGGCTGCCTGGCCTAAAACTTCTGTCTATGAAGCCTGGGCATGGCAGGATAGCCAGGCATCCTGCTAGTGAAGAACAAGGCACTGAGGCACTTGGGACACCATGCACCAAACCACACTGCTTCCTCCTCTGTGAAACACTGTTGATTTGTTGAACTGAGGGCTCTAAGCTCCAAAGGACCAGAGGAGGTGGCCCCATGCCCGACCATCCTAAGGGTCCACATTTAGGAGCTCTCATGACTGTTGTCTCTCCTGGAGGGCAGGGGGTGTGGTCCAGGGGAGGCTGCTTCTCAGTTGTCCCTACACACTCAAGAAGAACCCAGGAAGCCAAGTGTTGGTGGCTTCTCTGCAGGCTGATATCTGAAGATAGCAGTTCAGAGGCAGCCTAAGCAGGAAAGTGTGAGATGCTTATCTCCAATTAATAATCAAACATTCAGAAGTGGAGCTGTGGCTCAAATGGTAGAGCACCAGCCTTGAGAGAAAAAGTTTAAGGACCACGCCCAAGCCCCAGTACCAGCCTTCCCCCAAAAGGAAAAGCCCATGGATTTTTCCCATACTGGAAACAGTATATAGACAGGAATGGGTCCAAGAACAGGCTCCAGAGGACCAGCTCTCACACCAGGAGAAAGGATTTAGTCACTGCTAGGTAGAGTGAGGACTCACCTTGGCTCTGTTGTTGCTCTTGCTTGAGGGCCCAATGCTAGCAGGCACTTTGGGTAGTGTTGTGCCAGCACGTGTTGGGTTGATGGGCAACTTGGATGGTGCTAGATGGGTGAGCATATTAGGGGGCATTGCACCAGGGGTCTTTGAGCTGGTGGGCAGCTTGGAAGGCCCTGTACTGGCAGCTGTTGGGGTAGAAGGCACTTTGGAAGCCATGGTGTTCACAGGCATCTGGGTGGTAGGAGGAGGCACTGGGTTGGTAGTCACAGAGTTGCCAGGTACCTCTGCATCACTAGCTCCCTTTGTAGAAGCCAAGCCAGAAGTCAAGGAAAGGGAGGAGTTGCCAGCAGATGGAGCTGACCCCGCAGGCCCAGGCAAGCGACTTGCCCTGGCACGGGCCAGGGGCTGAAAGGAGACAGTTGGAGACACAGGCCCACGAGTTGGTATGGGACTGGTGGCAGTACCTGCAGGCAGTAAAACAAAAGAGGAATATTTTACCCTCAGGGTTGGAAAAAAAAGGTCCCTCTACCCCAGGTCACATTGTCTCAACTGCGTCTAGGCCTCAGGATCTCCTGTCTATGAAGTCAATTCCAAAGCCCCTTTGGTCATTGCTTTTGGGCCTAAAGATTCAACAGTTCCCCTAGGTTCTTGACCTATAGCCCCAAGTCTCTCCTGTACAAGAGTGAAATAGTCTCTCCCTCCTTCTAACTTCACCTAAGGGCTTGGAGATCATTATGAAGTATTCTCGCCTCTTATCCCACCCCAGGGTACTTACTCCCACTTCTCTTATTTCTGTTTTTCCTCTTTAGTCTGGTAAAATACTGGGCCCCTAACTATGCCCAAGGAGCCCTGCTATCCAATTCCCTGGCAGGAGCAATCCTAGACCAGGCCAAGGGATAGCAAAATAGTTCAATCAAACCTCTTAAACCAGGCTGGGAAGGTGGCTCAGTGGTAGAGCGCTTGCCTTGCATGCCTGAGGCCCTGGGTTTGATTGCTCAGCCCCACATAAGCAAAAAAAAAAAAAGCCCAAAGTGGTGCTATGGCTCAAGTGGTAGAGCACTAGATTTGAGCTGAAGAGCTGAGGGACAGCACCCAGGCCCCAGAGTTCAGGCCCATGACCGGACTCAAAATAATAATAACAATAATAATAATAATAATAATATACCTCTTAAACCAGTTAAATAGTACCAAAGGCTAGCTAGCCCCCAGGGGTAAGGAAAAAGGCACTCCTGGGAGGAAGCAGCAAGTGACAGCCCATGAAAGGAATGGCATCAGGAGTCTCCCAGACCCTTAAGAATGAAAATACCAGGCCCTGAGGCAGACAAAGATCAGAGTTAAGTCTGATGGTTCCAACCTTAAGTCTAACACCAGAGAAAGTTCATGATGGCAACTGGGTCCATAAAGGTATTAAGATCAAAGTGCCAGCTGGGTGCCAGTGACTCACACCTGTTAACCCTAGCTATTCAGGAGGCTGAGATCTGAGGATCTCAGTTGGAAGCCAGACCAGGCAGGAAAGTCCATGAGACTCTTACATCCAGTTAACCCCAAAAAGCCAGAAGTGGAGCTGTGGCTCAAGTGGTAGAGTGCTAACCTTTAGCACAAAAGCTCAGGGACAGTGCCCAGGCCCTAGGTTCAAACCCTTTTGTCTCCAAATTCTAAAAGGTGTTTTACGACAAGCACACATTTCATCACAAAGCACAAATACATACTAGGAATCATTTGGGAGTGGCAGGAGTAAGACACTAAGATGGCTTCTCCCAACTTTTAATTGTTCATGTGTCAGGCCACTGAAGGCTGACCAAGTATCTGTCAGGTGGAACATGTTTTCTAACCTGAGAGATCAAGGTGAACAGTGTATACTCAGTCCTGAGGGGGGACACATAGGCCCAGTGTGCAGTCCCAGTCCATGGCTGATAAAGACCACACTTCCTCTGGGGACTGAGCCACTTGAATGGTTTGCTGGGAAATAGAGACCCATTTGAGACAGCACAGTGATGGAGGGCTCCCCTACTAACAGCTAGCTCAGCTCTGTATTGTCCTCTGTCCTCCCGGCCCTGGCCACTTCCTACAAGGTCCTTTCAGCACAGTGCCGAAAACGGCTTTGATTCTCTTCCCTACCCATACTGTTGCAATGAACAGCAATACACACCTATACAACAAGCCAGACCCTCTGTGATGACTTTGCCAGTCTTTGCATCTAAGAATGGAAGTTTCTCCATTACTTGGAGCTGAGCTAGCCTTAGAACTTATTTGGACTCCCAGAATAGGAATAGAGGGCAGCTCATGTGCATGTGCTCCGCGCCCCCCTCCTCGCCCCCCAATGAGGAAGAGGTAGAAGCAGATCTTGTGTATTTGCTGATGATTTCATGAAAGGAAATCCAGCCAAGACCAAAACTGTTCAACTGCGTCAGTCATGTGTTAAATCATGGTTGTTGTTTGTTTGTTTGTTTTGCCAGTCCTGGGGCTTGAATTCAGGGCCTGCCCATTGTCTCTGAGCTGCTAGCACTCTACCACTTGAGCCACAGCGCCACTTCCAGCTTTTTCTGTCAAGCACACTACCACTGAGCCACATTCCCAGCCCCATGGTTGCATTTTTTAAACTCTTTATTACAAAACAAATAATATACTCTCCTAAGAAACTCTCTGAACATCCTTTAGTCCTGCCTTGTTTTCTGTCCTAAGAAGGCTAAGGGGTAACTCTAATCCTCTGAATTAGAGAGCTGAGAGTCCTCAAACATCCCATTTCATGCATACCTGCTGTGTGAGTGCTGCTCAGTTCTGGGGCCTGGTCCTGATGTCTGCTGGAGGCCACAGGGTTGAGGACCGGCAAGTTAGATGATGGTCCACTGGAGGAGCCACTGGAATTCCTCTGGATGGCCCCAGATTCATGGGCCTGCTCTGAACTCTGCAAGAGAGGAAATATGAATAAGGTAATTCCTTCTCCCAAAAGCTAGCAAAGGGCAGCTGGTGTTCCTGGAGCATCTCCTACAGGCCTCAGTCCATACACTGCCAGCGACTATCTATATGTGATCTTGCATCTACCTCAGTGAAAACGAGGGGTCACTCAGCGGCACATCACTGGCCCAGCTTGCACAGGGCCTGGGTTCAATTCCCAGCACTTTATAAAGAATGGAACACAAAATCAAACAAACCCACAAACCAACCATGGGGTCCCTATCTACCTGTGTGGCTTGTGGGGAGGTCTTCCTGTCTGTGAACACTGCATAGAATCCAGAATCCTTTCTTCAGGGGCTTCTGCACAGACCTTGTGGCCTCAGGTCCACAGGACCTGTGTCTGCAGGACACCCCATGGTCCACCCATCACATCTCGGTAGAAAACTGGTTAGCTTCCCCCCCACTTCACTGCTGATAACTACAGCTCCTTGCCCTATCCATCCTGACCTCCCACACCCACCAATCAGATCACTCCCAGGCTCCTCCAACTGACGTGACATGTCAGATGATCACTGCCAAGACCTCCAAACTCTGGCCTCCTAGCTGGCTGGCAACAGAGTGTTCCCCAACACTCTGCTGCCATGGGCCTGGAGCAGCTTCCTATTGAGATAGCCCTGATATGTTGAGGGGAGAAGAGAACTTCAGGAAGGCTGGGTAGACAGAAGGGCACAGATCAGAACACAAAAGCAGGCAGACCAAGGTCAGCTATGAGGACTTACCTCTCCTGGGGATTTTGGCGGCTGGGTGTCCTGGACAGGCATGGGGTAACCTGCCTCCCCTTGGTAGCCATTGTGGGGTCTGCTGTGGGCTGTAGCAGATTCAGAGGCTCTTGAAATCTTGGCAGGAACTGCTGGGTCCTCTGGTGGGGCCGGAGAGTGGGCCGGGGCTCCTAGAGGACAAAGATACCAAGATAGGAGAAGGAATCAGGAGACTTAAATGGTGTTTGCCTAATAAGTGCAAGGCCCTGAGTTCAGACCTTAGTACCACCAAGAAAGAAAATGGTGTTATGTCCTGATGACAAAAAAGGCTAAGGTGCAGGCCTGGGAAGGAGGCTCAGTGATAGAGCGCATGAGGCCCTGGGTTCAATTCCACAGCACCACATAAGCAGAAAAAGCTGGAAGCGGCACTATGGCTCAAGTGGTAGAACGCCAGTCTTGAGCTGAAGAGATGAGGGACAGCACCCAGGCTCAGAGTTCAGACCCCACAACCGACAAATAAACAAACAAACCAAACACTAAGGTGCTTTGGGATCCTCATGTCCCCCTTCTTAACTCCAAAGGCTGACTTGATGTGATACACTTCTCAGCATTGACAAGCATCACTGGGGTAGGCAAGAGGGAGGAGACAGGAGTATTATGGAGGAAAGGAAAGATGTCAAGGGTGGCCTGATCAGTCTTTCTGTACCCAAATGGTGTTAGTGGTCACTCCTTCTCTGTCCCCAGACTTTCTCCTCCTCATGCTGTCACCCCCAAATGACCCCTTCCACCACCCACTAGAGCCCTCCCACAGCTATTTGTACTCAAAAGACCACTATTATCCCAGGCCTCATACCTATAATCCTAAGCACTCAGAAGACTGAGATGCAGAGAATTGTGGTTAAAGGCCAGTCCAGGCAGAAAGGTCTGTAAGACTCTATCTCTAAAATAACCAGCTAAAAAAGGAGGACTGGAGGTTTGGCTTGAGTAGCAACAAGGCAGTAGAGCAAGCAAGCGAAACGACCATGATCGTGAGTCTGAGTTCATGCACAATCTTCACAAGTAAAAGAGACCAGCCAGGAAAGAAAAGAGGGAGGGAGAAAAGAAAGGAGCAAAAGGCAAATGTGTGGTAACCCACAGCTGTAAATTTGACAGGGATCGAAGGAAGGCCTCTGTTATGAACTGTAAATAGGGCTGGCTTGACTTTTTCTTCCTATGTCTCTTCTCAGGCCCCATCCACCAAATCCCCTCTGATCACTGGCAGGGACATTGAAAGGAATGAAGGAGTAACTAGGCAGCTGGGAAAGAGGTGGAGACCAGGGTGTTCTCAGGGAAAAGCAGGGGGAAGAGAAACAGAGAGAGGGATGGTAAGCCAGTGAGCAGAGGAGGAAAGAACGGGAAAGGACATAAGGAAATGTGGGAAGCAAACACCACAGCTACAGAAATAACATGGGATCCCTGGCTGAGCACTGAGCCCCAACTAAGCATACAAAAGTCCTCCATGACAGACACTGCCATCAGCCCCATTTTGCAAAGAAGACTGAGGCCCGAAGAAATTAAGGAACTTGGCCAAATCGACACCAACCAGGATCCAATCGAGCTATTCTTTGCTCAGGAATTCTGGAAAAATAAGGATAAGAGAAGGTAGGAGGTACAGGGGTGGGGAGGGTAAAGGGGGGCGAGGGCAAGAAGCTCACCTCGAGGCAAGTAGCTATGGTAGACACTGGCCACTTGTCCAGCAAGCACAGACAGTTCACAGGCGTTCAATGCCCCAATGAAGAAGTCCACCCAGCCAGTCCGCCGCTGAAGGCTATTGAAGAGTTCCCAGAGTGTGTCCCGGTTCCCCAGACGCGCATAGGAGGCCCGCAGGCGATCCTGGAAGACAGCACAGCAGCTCTGCTCAAGCCAACTGCCCCACCCCCCTCACTTCTTCCCTACTTACAAGAGGGCCACTGCCCCAAGAGGCCACCATGTGACATGGTCCAGCTCAGATCAAGGCCAGGGTATAGTCCCAGTGGGTAGAAGAAAGCACAGCACAGCTGCAATCAGTAAGAGCAGCTGCCTAGAAACAGACTCTGTACCAGGCTCTCCCTGCTTAAGGCTTTGCATCAACCGTCCTACTCAGTGCTTTCATTACCCTTGCTTTCTGGATGAGGAAACTAAAGCTTTAAAGTAACAGGAATCCTGGGTAGGAATCCAAAGCCTTGGATTTAGATGACCCCCAAAACAAAGAGAATAAAGTTTGTTTGAGTTAGTAGCTCATGCCTATAATCCTATTCAGGAAGATGAAATCTGAAGATCCTAGTTCCAATCCAGTGGGAAAGTGAAACCCTTATCTCCAACTAACCAAAAACAACAACAAAAACAAAACAAGTAGAGGTATGGCTCAAGTAGTAGAGTGCCAGCCTTGATGAAAAAAGTTAAATGTGACTGCAAAATCTTGTACCTGAGGTTACAAGGTCCTGAGTTCAAACCTCAAAAGAAAGAAAAGGAAGGAAGGAAGGAAGGAAGGAAGGAAGGAAGGAAGGAAGGAAGGAAGGAAGGAAGGAAGGAAGGAAGGAAGGAAGACTGGGCTGGGAAGGTGGCTTAATGGTAGAGCGCTTGCCTTGCATGCATGAGGTCTCGGGTTTGATTCCTCAGCACCACATACTCAGAAAAAGCCGGAAGTGGCACTGTGGCTCAAGTGGTAGAGTGCTAGCCTTGAGCCGAAGAGCTGAGGGACAACAACCAGGCCCAGAGTTCAGGCCTCAGGGACTGGGAAGGTGGCTCAGTGGTAGAGTGCTTGCCTTGCATGCATGGATTCGATTCCTCAGTACCACATAAGCAAACAGAAAAAAGCCGGAAGTGGCACTGTGGCTCAAGTGGTAGAGCACTAGCCTTGAGCTGAAGAGCTGAGGGACAGCACCCAGGCCCAGAGTTCAGGCCTCATGACCGGACCCCCCCCCCCCAATAAAAAAACAGAGTTCAGGCCTCACAATGGACAAAAAAAAAGAAAAGAAAGACAGACAGAAAGAGAGAGGGAGGGTGGGAAAGAGAAAGAGAGAAAGAGAAAGAAAGAGAGAGAGGGAGAGAGAGAGAAAGAAAGAAAGAAGAAAGCAAGGAAGGAAGGAAGGAAGGAGGAAAGGAAGGAAGGAAGGAAAGGAGGAGGGGAGAGGAGAGGAAAGGAGGGGAGAAGAAAGGGGAGAGGAGTGGACAGGGGAGAGGAGACGAAGGGAGGGGAGAGGAGGGGAGGGGAGGGGAATGGAGGGGAAGGGAGGGGAATGGAGGGGAGGGGAGGGGAATGGAGGGGAGGGGAGAAGGTATAATTCCCAGCAACAAACAGATGAAAGAAGACAAAGGTGAAACAAGGAGTTGAGAGCACTGAGCAGATTCTGGGAAGATAGCAGTTGCAGAGAGAGAGAGAGAGAGAGAGAGAGAGAGAGAGAGTATTCAGATTCCCACCAAAAAAAACACACAAGCAATCAGACACAGCAGAAATGAAAATTCACAGAAACTAAGTTGGGCTTGTTGGACCATAAGGAGGAGGAGGAGGAGGAGGAGGAGACCCCACCCACAGAAAGCAAAGTACAAGGTATCCCACCAAACACCCCAATATGAGGTAGAACCAAACCTCACAGGACCCAGACCTGCATTGCAAATGGTATCTATGTGGGAGGATAAACAGGAAGCATTGGCACTTTCTTTTCTTGTATGTGTGTGTGTGTGTGTGTGTGTCTGTGTGTGCGAGCACACACATGCTGGTACTGGGGCTTGAATTCAGGGCCAGTGTGCTGTCCCTTAGCTTTTTGGCTCAAGGCTGGCACTCTATCACTTGAGCCACAGCTCCACTTCTGGATTTTTGGTGGTTAATGGAGATAAGAATCTCACAGACGGGGCTGGGAAGGTGGCTTAGTGCCTTGCATGCATGAGGCTCTGGGTTTGATTCCTCAGCACCACATAAGCAAAAAGGAAAAAAAGCCAGTAGTGGCGCTGTGGCTCAAAGTAGTAGAGCACTAGCCTTAAGCAAAAGAGCTCAGGGACAGCATCCAGGCCCCGAGTTCAAGCTCCATTACTGACCAAAAAAATAAATAAAAAATAATTAAGATGAAGAAAAGAAGACTGAAAAACAATAGTTAAAAGGAACCAGAGCCAGTAAGAGGCTAGTGTCATACTTTAGCACTACCCAAATACAACACAAGAGGGGGCGGTTGAGGCTAGAAAAGCCATCCTGAACCACACTTGTTCCTACTTAGAAAAGCAGCAAGAACAAGAAGGAAGATGCAAGAGAAAAAAAAGAGAGGAGGGGATTGGTCTTGGCCTAGGTAAAGAACTAGATTGAGGGGCTGGGAAGGTGGCTCAGTGGTAGAGCGCTTGCCTTGCATGCCTGAGGCCCTGGGTTCAATTCCTCAGAACCACATAAGAAAAAAGCCGGAAGTGGTGCTGTGGCTCAAGTGGTAGAGCGCTAGCCTTGAGCTGAAGAGCTGAGGGACAGCACCCAGGCCCAGAGTTCAGGCCCCATGACCAGACCCAAAAAAAAAAAGAGGTAGAGCGCTAGCCTTGAGCTGAAGAACCGAGGGACTGCGCCCAGACCCAGAGTTCAAGCCCCACAACAGGACCCCCCCAAAAAAAAAAAACTAGGATGAGGTTAAACTTGGAATCCCACAGTCCAGCATCTGTCACTTCTGCTCACCTGATCGCTGGCTGTAAGGCAGGGTAGGTAGGGCAGAATCTCCAGAACATCCACCCGGCAAAAACTGCTGTGATTACGGCAGATATACTTATAAGTCTTCTCTTCAGCAAAGGTCATGGCTGTTCAGCTTCTGAACAGAGGGTTCTCTAGCCCTGGGAAGTGTGGATGTACTGAGAGAAAAAGACTGGAAGAAAAGACATTATACATGATAACAAGGCTGGAAATAAAGTTGGACGAAGGCAATTCTTACATTTTAGGACTCTTTGGGATTTTCCTTTTAATTTTTCTTCTTCTTCCTTTTTCTTTAGGGCCTCATGCTCACACTCAAGTTTGTTTCTTTTTTTTTTTTTTTTTTTCTTCCTCTTGGCTAGTACTCATCAATTAAGCCATGCCTCCAGCCTGGCTTTTTGTGGTTAACTGGAGATAAGAGTCTCACGAACTTTTATACCCAGGATGGCTTCAAATCTCCATCCTCAGATCTCTACCTCCTGAGTAACTTGGATTACAGGTGTGAGCTATCAGCACCTAGCTAATCTTTAGTTTGATCAATGCAAAATAAAAGGGCTGGAGGTGTGGCTCAGCAGTAGAGAGACACCTATTAGTGTTGCTGCTTTCAGGTATACTAAAACCAAGGGGAAAGAAAGTCCAGCATAGGGGCTGGGAAGGTGGCTCAGTGGTAAAGCGCATGCCTTGCATGCCAGAGGCCCTGGGTTCAATTCCTCAGCACCACATAAGCAAAAAGAAAAAAGCCGGAAGTGGCGCTGTGGCTCAAGTGGTAGAGCGCTAGCCTTGAGCTGAAGAGCTGAGGGACAGCGCCCAGGCCCAGAGTTCAGGCTCCATGACCGGACCCAAAAAAACAAACAAACAAACAAACAAAAAAGAAAGTCCAGCATAATAACAACAGAGTCATCACATTGTATAGATGAAAAAATGAAGTATGAAGAAATTAAAGGGAGCTGTGTGCTGGTGGCTCACACCTATAATTCTAGCTACTCAGGAAGCTGAGCTCTGAGGATCAAAGCTCAAAGCCAGCCTGGGCAGGAAAAGTCCAAGACATTCTTATCTCCAATTAACCACTAGAAAACTGGAAGTGGCATTATGTCTCAAAGTGTTAGAGCACTAACCTTGAGCAGAAGAGCTCAGGAACGGAATCCAGCATCCCTACAACTGATCCAATTTTTTTTAAGTACCAAAAGAAGGCCAAGCAAGAATGCAAGGCCCTGAGTTCAAACCCTACCACCTGCATTATATACATATGTATATATATATATATATATATATATATATATATATATATATACGCATATATATGTATGGACGTATACATTTATATACACACGTATATATACACATATGACTTACTAGTCACCAAAGAAGCAAAGAACTGACTTCTTTAGGATCAATTATTTTCCAGAGCACAACTGCAGGCCCAGTACTAAAACTTGTTATATATGTGTATTCTCAAGAGGGAGACTGAGTTTCACTGCTCTGAGGCCACTGTGTGACTCAGGGCAAGTTACCAACCTTTTCCAGGTTTTCCTTCAAATGGCTCAAGGAGCTTATTTTGACAGTAACTCAGACAGACAAGCTTAAAATTTTCTAGAGCACCTCAAATACAAGCAAGCATTATTTACATAGCACTTACCACTGTTTGCCATTATCGATTCATTTGTTTGCTTGCTTTTTATATTTGCCCTCCCCATAGGGGAGTGCAGCCAGGACTAAGGGAGACAAAGTCTATGTTATCATCCAATTTATAGTCTACTGAGCTGGGACGGACAACAGATCAATAGACACCTACTGAAAAAAGAATTCCTGAAAGTAACATAAGTTATAATGAAAATAAAGAAGGACAATGAGCAGATCTTCCAGAGAAAGATATAACTCTTAAACTGGGGTGGTCAGGGGCATCCTCCCTATCTCCCCCAAACTGGTGACAATTGAATTGAGCTTTCTCAGCTGTCTGAAAATTGGCATCTTGGGCAGCAAGCATAGTAAATGCAAGTCTTAATATGGGAACCACCTTGGCACATTTGAAGAATAAAAAGCAGGCCACTAAAAAGGGTTAGAAAGTGAAAGCAGCAAGGTCAAAGCTGACAGGATCTACATACACTGATGACGCACACCTATAGTCCTAGCTAATTAAGAGGTTGAGATCTGGAGCAGCACAGTTCGACTAGACTAAGTAGATAAGTCTACAAGTTTCCATCTCTGAAATAACCAGCAAAATGCCAGGCTAGTCTTGCTCCATCCATAAGCAAGCTAAAGTAAAATACTCAAACACTGAGTTCAAATCCCAGAACAGGCAAAAAAAAAAAAAAAAAGTTGGCAAGGGATACTCATGTAGAGAAGGACTTAGGATTTTATATGGGGTAAAATGGAACCACTGGATGGTTCAAGCAGAAAAAGGAGATCTGATTAAAGATCTTTTTGGTGATTGTGAGGAAAAACATAATGGGACCAGAGTGGGAGCAGGAGGATGAGGAAGGAGGCCACAGGAAGGGAGATGAAAATGGATGCATCCAGGATAGTACCATTGAGGTGGTGAGGCAGTGGCTAGACTCCTAGTGTTTCATGGAGGTGGGAGATGAGGGAGAAAGGAGAACCCAGCATTTGCCTTTGGATTCTGGGTGCAAGGAAGGTACCATTTACAGGCTAGGGAGGCTAGAGAGGAGCTATGGTGAAGAGGAAGGTCCAGAGCTCCATTCTGAACAAGCAAAAGCTTACCATGCTGTTAGACTTCAAGGGCACTGTGGGGAAGAGAAGTAGGCAGGAGTACAGGGCCAGATGGGTGCCGTGGTAAGACCTCTGGGAGACAGCACTTCAAGCGAGCAAGGCCCATGGCTGCTGCAGGTGCCAACTCCTCTCCACATGGGAAATGGGACATCAATCCTGCCTCGTGGCCTTACAAACCCTCTCTTCATGACTCAAATTGCCAAGTACAGGTGCCACATAGCTGGTAGGGGTAAGTGCTAGTAACAGAACGGTCAGAAAATCAGGGAAGTAAGTAGGGTGCTGGTGGCTCACACCTATAATGCTAGCTATTCAGGAGGCTAAGATCTGAGGATTGAGCTTGAATCCAGCCTAGAAAGGAAAGTCTATTACTTCTTTTTTTTCCCCCAGTCCTGGGGCTTAAACATAGAGCCTGGGCTCTGTCCCTGAGCCTCTATGTGCTCAAGGCTCTACCATTTGAGCCACAGCACTACTTCTGGCTTTTTCCAAGTAGTTTATTGAAGAGAAGAGCTGCATGGCCGGGCACCAGTGGCTCACGCCTGTAATCCTAGCTACTCAGGAGGCTGAGATCTGAGGATCACAGTTCAAAACCACCCCAGGCAGGAAACTCTGTGAGACTCTTTTTTTTTTTTTGGCGGTTGTGGGGCTTGAACTTTGGGCCTGGGTGCTGTCCCTCAGCTCTTCAGCTCAAGGGGAGCGCTCTACCACTTGAGCTACAGTGCCACTTCCATCCGTGAGACTCTTATCTCCAATTAACTACCAGAAAACCAGAAGTGGCGCTGTGGCTCAAGTGGTAGAGCATTTGCCTTAAGCTGAAAAATTCAGGGACAGCACCCAGACCCAGAGTTCAAGTAGCACAATTGACCAAAAAAAAAAAGAGTCCCACAGACTTTCCTGCCCAGGCTGGCTTTAAACCATGATCCTCAGATCTCAGCCTCCTGAGTAGCTAGGATTATAGACATAAGACACCAGCACCCAGCTTGTCTATGACACTTATCTTCAATTAACCACCAAAAAGCTGGAAGTGGAAGTATGGCTCAAGTGGTAGATACCAGCCTTGAAAAGGAAAAACAAAAAACAACTAAGGGACAGTGCCCAGGCCCTGAGTTCAAACCCTAGCTCATTCTCTCTCTCTCTCTCTCTCTCTCTCTCTCTCTCTCATACACACACACACACAAATAATTAATAATAATATTTTTTGCCAGTCCTGGGACCTGAACTCTGGATCCTGTCCCTCAGCTCTTCAGCTCAAGTGCTCTACCACTTAAGCCACAGTACCACTTCTGGTTTTTTCTGCTTATATGGTGCTGAGGAATCGAACCCAGGGCCTTACGCATGCAAGGCAAGCGCTCTACCACTGAGCCACCTTCCCAGCCCCAATAATAATAATTTTTTAAAACAAGGAAAGTAGCCAGAGGAGAGTCTTCTGAGATAAAGAGTCTTCAGGAGATAAAGAAACACTGTGAAGGTGAATAGACCTCTTCTTCCCTTTTCATAGTACCTAAGAAGGTGTCAGGAGGGATGTTGGCTGAGCACTCATCTACAGCCTTAAGGCACAGATGAGGGGGAGATGACCCCCCACCCAAAAACGGAAAGGAAGTGCACATCTGTTCACATTTATTGAGGGCATCCTATATTCCTTCACTTAATCCTGATACGATATCAGAAGAGGGCAAGGGATACCAAGTCACACAGCTGGCCAGAGGTTCATGCAGGATTTGAATCTAAGATTTGATGCATCATTGCAACTGGCCTTAGATATTACAAGGAACAAAAGCCCCTGCAGCTTGGGCCACACAGCCCTTGGTCTTCATGCCGGGGAGGGGCCAAGGTGAATTCACCTTGGTGAATGGGATCACTGAATAAGGACGTCCTTGGGAGAATGCAACATCTAATCCCTTCTCTTCTCAGAATGGAATAGTTTCATACAGGGCAGACAACTTTAGCCCTGCCCTCGTTATCACTGCCTAGTTCCCAGGTGGCTTGGTTGTCTTCCAAGATGTTTTGGAAACTTCGCAGTATCCAGACAACGTCCTTCTCGCTTTGTTACATTTCATCCTCTCCAGGCACCTCCTGTCGATTTCGGCTTAAGGAACGTGCATAGTGTTCCCGATGTTGAAATGTCTCCAGAGTGTCGGACCTGACTGTCCCAGAGCCTCCGAGCCGAGCGGCGGAAAGCAACGCCCACCCTCCCGAAGGACAGACAGACAAGACAGGCCTCACGGCCTCGGATCTGCTTTCTGGGCAGAATCCGGGTCCGCCGAGGGCAAGAAGGCTGTTCAGCGCAGGTGTCTGTCACCGGGGAGAACCGTCCGGACCCAGAACCCAGAGCCGCAGCCCCGGACTCCAGGCGGGACTCCAGCGGGCCGCCACGGGTCGGTGCACCCGGGCTCCGCCTCTCCTGGGGTCACCCTGGGCCTTCAGGGGCGGGAGGAACTCCATGCGTCTCCTTCCGGCCCAACCTTTCCCGAGAACGCAGGCAGACGCCTAGGCCATC